TCAAAATTCATAATGTCACCTTCAAAATACGTGGTTCCGATCATCATTTTTCTCGTGCAATACAATATACTTCTACTTGACCCTTTTACACTTATATAATGAGTTCCATGCTAATTATATATATATATATATATATATATATATATATATATATATATATATATATATATATATATATATATATATATATATATATATATATATATATATATATATATATATATATATATATATATATATATATATATTAAGAACGAAACTTCAATAAATAAGAGATGAGATGGACAAAATGGGGGGATGGGCAAAACCAAACCCATTAAGCAAGCATAAGCCTTAACTTGGGAAGACCCAACCTATCATGATTAAAGACATCTAAACAAAAATTAGGAATGGAATGAAACCAATTAAAGCCTGAAAGAGAAAAACCCAGATTCACTAGCTTATCCTCCCCGACATTTTATTCTCTAAGAGAATGAGAAATAATGAAATTCATGTTTCTAATACGCACCAAACAGTTGCTCACTCTATTTCTTAACATCCAAGGAACCTTTGAAGGAGAGTCATAAGCAAGAATGATAAGTTTTGAGTCGGTTTCAATCCATAAATTGTCCCACCCTTTCTCAACCGTAATTTCAATTGCAAACATGACTCTTAACAGCTCAGCATGAAAAGCATTGCTAATACCAAGATTTATCGAAAATCCTCTAAGAAAATAGCCACAGTTGTCTCTAAAAATTCCAGCACAAGAAGATAAACTCAGGCAACCAATGGTCGCACCATCCGTGTTGCATTTAATCCAAGAGCCAATAGGGGGATTCTAAAAAATCTCCTTAGTACGAGTGCCCCTAGGAGGATGAACATTAATGCAGAAGGCTTTAAGAAGGACAAAATCTATGATAGAGGGGTTGAAGAAAGCTTGGTGTGATTCTCGTATATGTTTGAGTTAGACAACATCCATCTTTTAGTCACATTAAGATTTGGCAAGATGTTGTTGAAGCGAGATTGATTTCTATGATTCCAGATAGTGTTTATAATGTTGATGATGGTAGCCTTGATGATCAACACACATTGAGGACTCAAAGAGGGATAAGTACTCTACCAAAGCTCATTAGGAGTGAGAGGAAGGAAAGCCATATTTATGAGTCCAGAAAACCATGTCCATAAAGCATTAGCAAACTGACAGGCGAAGAAAATATGTGTGGAAGAGTCTTCATGAGTTTTGCAAATGCTACACATGGAAGGAACATTACAACCTTTGACCTTAAGATTCTCATCGCAAGGGAGCCTATTGTGCATTGGCCTTCAAACAAGAAGAGATTTAGAAGGAGGAAAAGATGGATTCCAAATGTATTTGGAGCAATTCACTAGGGAACCATGAGGGTTTAAGTGAAGATATGCCTCCTTCAAAGATAAAGAGCCCGAGGGAGAATGCTTCCAAAACAATTCATCTTCTTTGTGCTCCAAAGGAATGTGGCAGTTGTTGATGGTTGTCATGATTTAAGGAAAATTTTGATACTAGTCAGAGGGAATGTCCTATTTTCTACTAAATATGAAGTGCTGAATTTTTATAGCTATATTAATGGAGATGGAAGGAGTGAGATGATCATCAATAAAAGCCTTTCCACGCCAAATCTTTCTGAGAGTGAAGGAAACCCCATCCAAGTTTCATATCAGAAGCTTCATTGAGCTTAGAAAGATTTCTGATGCCAATGCCTCCTTCATTGATAGGCTTGCACAATTTAGACCAATAGACACTCAGAAGTTTTCTCTTAGAAATGTCTCCACTCCAAATGATGTTTCTAGTCCATTGCTCAAATTGCTTGATAAAACCAATAGGCCAAAAATACATGAGGATACTATGAATAAACATGCTATGAATGACACTTTTAACAAGCTGAACTCTGCCAGCAATAGAGAGAAGGGAAGCTTTCTAAGCATAAAGCTTATTCTTGACAATATCAGCAATAGGAAACAAGTGCCTAGACTTTGGTTTGCCCCTAAAAATGGGAACACCTAGATAAGTGAAAGAAGAGCCACCAATTTGAAAGCCAAGCTTTTGAGCAATAAGCTGTAACTTGTTAGAGATTGAACCAGCATAAATGAAAGACTTTATGGGGTTTATAATCTGACTAGAAATACTAGCATAACTTTGAAAAAGCTCCAATAAAGATTCTATGTTGGAAAGCTTCCCTTTGCAGAAGATGAAAACATCATCGACATAGAGAGAACGAGAAGGGATCATCATAGCTCTACATCCCTTGATCAAGTCAAGACTGTCCTACTCAACCAGCCAAGAAATGCTTCTGCTAAGGACTTCCTCAGCAATGTAGAAGAGAAGAGGAAACAAAGAATCACCTTGTCTGACACCTCTTTGTTAGGAAAAGTGACCATGAAGGGATCCATTGATAAAGATATATAACTTAGCAGAGTGAAGAATATTGCTTATCCAATCACAAAAAGTGTTGCAGAAGCTAAATTGTCTCAAAACTTTGATGAGAAAGCACCAATCCAAGGTATCAAATGCTTTCATCCAAGGTTTTCATGCACATTTCCAAATGTAGCCTTATTTCGATCCTTGAGATTGTTGTGAGGATCTTGAGCTTTTTGTTCAAAATGCACATAGGGCAACCTAAAACTTTTGTATTCTAACTGTGACTTAGCGGTTATATTAAAACATAATTAATAAATAAACAAAAATATCAATAATATAAATATTCAACGTGACTTTATAAACACCATCACGTGCTATCAATTCTAAAAAGAGGAAAACGAAATTGACACAATAAATCCAATTTTTAAAATAAAAGACCAAAACATCGTTTCTTAATAATTTAATAATTCTTCAAAGATTGTCCTATTCTATAGTTCTCTTTTTATTTGTATTCTATTCCCTCTCAAACAAATTGAAACGTTCCAACTCACCAAATCCTTAGCCTCTTTTCAAGGTCTACGTTTTCCCTCCCTTTCATTGGCCCACTCCTAAACATTTTATTTTTCCCAATATCACTAAAGATATCCACATTCTTTATTCTCTAAGGCCCCATCTCTTTATTTTTCTCTCTCTTTTTATAAATTTCTTTCCCTTAAATCACTATTTTTATTTCATATTTATATACATTATTTTTAAAATAATAATTTTTAATTAAAAAATAATTGTAATTAAATTTTGAAACACATAAAAAAAATTAAATAGACTCAAAATTAAAATAATACTGAATAAAAAATCACATAAATTGCTTTAGTCAGATCCACGTCTTTGAATTAATCTTTCATGATAAAAATAAAAAATTTGTAGTTAATAATAATTTTAATTTTAATATTTATTTTTGTATCTATTTTTAATTTGACTAATATTTTTTTTTTTATTCAAATTATTTTAAACAATTTTATTTTCTTACATTTTTAAAGAAACACTGAACTTTAGTCAATTATCTAGAAAATAAATTTAATCAAAATTTGGAAGGAAGTAAAAAAATAATAAACTTTACCTAATATAAATGAATTACTAAACTTTAACATAAACATATTTTTGGTAAAAAATATATTTAAAAAAATGAAACAAACATTTTGTTTTGAAAAAAAAATATTAAACAATTATTAACTCTACAATTATTAAAAAAACACTAAAATTTAATATGAATATATTTTGGTCAAAATAAAAACCTAAGAAGCATTCTTACAAAAAAAGATAAGCACACGTAAAAATTTCCGAGAATGACGTGTAAGCCGAAGAGGTTATTTTTCTTCTGAGGAGGTTCCAAAAATGGGTTATTTTTCAGTGTAGTTCTAAGCAGTTACATAATTTTGGAGAAAATTTTGCAAATTTTTTTGGCTCAATTCTCTAACTGTTTTGACGCCTCTATATTTTTTTTTTTTCAAAAAATTGAGTCTTTATAAACGAAACCGAAAATGAACTTAATACTTCATAGTCCACACACACTTATCAGTCAAGTAGGTTTGGGAGTTACCGTGATTTGTGTGTGAGAGAGACAGAAAAAAAAGGTTGGTTTTTGAAGCATTTTTCTGAGTTTTTTTTTAATAGGTACGTTGTGTTTTATTGGTTTGTTAGTTGATTATGAAAAAGGGTTGTTGTGGAATTCAACAAATTTTATTTGTGTTGTAAAATAATTGTACCTTTAGATACTAATCTTGAAATGTTACTAGGATAGTGATGATTGTGTTGCTTCTTTTTTGTTTTGTGACGGTTTTGTTTTGTGTTGTTTTTTTTAAGGATTTTTATTGTTTGTTAGGATTTGTTGTTGTTGTTGTTGTTGTTTGTGATTTTTCTTAGATTGAAAGCATGTGATTTTCTGCTATTTCCATTTTCAGTAATGACAGAGAATTAAGGAAAATCTATTGCAATTTTGTGTAAGTTTTTATCTGTGTTTCTTCCTCTCTAGGTTATTATAATTATTCGGGTTTATGGGTTGCTGTTTTGTAGAAAAACATCTATGTTAATTTAAGTTGTTTTCTCTAAACCTCGGGATAGTCTGAGTATTAAGTTAGTCTGAGTTAGTATCGGACACCACCGACATCTCTGAAAAAATGCACGAGTCCATGTCATTGTCTTGTCGTGTCCAACACCGACATCTTTGAAAAAAGAAGTGTCCTTGTCACTGATCTGTCCGAGTCACTGTCTGACCATTTGAAAAAATGTGTCCATCTCACTGTCTGAGTCAGTGTCAAAACACCTACATCTATAATTCATCATCTCTTGAAAAAAGTGTGTCCATGTCACTGGCCAGGTTAGTGTCAGGCACTTGTGATTTCCATGTTCTTCCTATGTTGTTTTTGTTGTATTTCTTGAAGAGAATCTGTGTTTTTGGTTGTTTGTATTGTCAAATGTTATGGTATAGTAGGTCTACAATTTTCATTCATCATTATACATTATTAATTCAATTCCAAATTCTTTTATGTTAAATGCTTGTGTTAAATGCTTGCTTTGTCAGCATTCTAAGTTTTGTCTTGTTTACATTTTTCAGTGTGATAAGATAAGAGCTATGGATATTTTTGATTGTGCAAGAATTATATTAGATAGAGTTCTGAAATTTGATCCTGTGAATGCTCGAAAAATAGTCGGTTATCTCCTTATGCAAAATCACTGTGAACCCGAAATGGCTAGATTGGCATCTTGCCCAGATCATATCATTGCCGAAGTCATTCTTGGCGCCAAAATTCAAATGATGGCCTTAAATTCAGCCATGACTTCGATTCCACAGCCGCATGTTGCTCCTCCCCAAGGTTTAGCCTATTTTCCGGGTTTCCCCCCGACTTCACCACCACCACCACCACCACCACCACCACGGAACTTTCAGGTTCAACCTACCTATTGTGATCCACAGTTTGCGGCTGGCAATGTGAATCAAGAATTTATGGGAGTGAGTTATCTGGATTCTGTGACAGAACTTCAGAAACAAGCACAGATGTTGAGTTTGGAGAATCCTTTAGATCATGTGAATACTGGAACTAGAGGTGTTTTGGTCAATGATTACAACAACGGCTTTGATTCTTCTGTTGTCAATTACGGCGGAAGATCCGCGAAAAGGTCCTCAAATTCGAACCCATCTGAGTTTCCGGTCAAGATCTGTCACTATTTCAGTAAAGGCAACTGTCGGAATGGAAGTAACTGTCGATATTTTCATGGTCATGTTCCTCATGAGAGCTTCTCTTCTCAAGTGCATATGCATGGAAATGGTGATAACGAGGATCAAGTGATTTCTCCGCGTTCGTTGGCTCAGGTAGAGTCTGAAATTATTGAGCTTCTTAAGCAGAAAAGAGGTGATCCAATGTCAATTGCTTCGCTGCCGATGGCATACTTTGAGAGATACAAAAAGGTACTGCAAGCTCAGGGCTATTTAACTGAGAGTCAGCGACATGGTAAGTCTGGTTATAGTTTGACAAAGCTTCTTGCGCGGCTAAATAGTATTCGGCTAATTGACAGGTGAAAATTCTTTTTATAAATTTTCGCATTTGTATTCTAATATATATGTACTTGAATGTCACTTACCTTAATCTGAACTTTTTTTAATGTTGTTTTTTCAGGCCTCATGGACAGCATTCGGTTGTTTTGGCGGAAGATGCTCCAAAATACACTCAAACCGGAGAAGTTCAAAGTATCAGTGCTGCTCGGCAATTATATCTGACTTTTCCAGCTGATAGCACTTTCACCGAAGAAGATGTTGCGAGCTATTTCAAGTAAACTATTACAATTTTTTCTTTTTTCTGCGTGTATGTCTGACACTCATATCACACTCTTGTCTCGAACAACTCCATCAAATTTTTACATATTTTTCTTTGCAGCACAATTGGACATGTCGACGATGTTAGGATTCCATGCCAGAACAGAAGAATGTTTGGATTTGTAACATTTGCTCATCCCAAAACCGTTAGAAATATCTTGGAAAGGGGAGGTCCCCATTTTGTCCGCGGCGCTCGGGTGCTTGTGAAACCCTACATAGAGAGGGAAAAGTGAGAATCATTTGTTCTTGTTGCAAAATGAAATTTGACTCAAGTATTAATTTATGAACACGACACCAACACTGACATGTTAATTCGTTAATAACTTGTGTGTATTTGATGTAGGAGATATCAAGATAGAGTGGAGGAAAAAGATAGAGTGGAGCACCTTCCTTGTTGTCCACGTTACTATACAAATGTGGATTCTGAACTTGACTTGAGTATGATATAATCTAGTTTATAACCTAACTTTTTTTGGTTAATATCTTAGAACAAGTTATACCTTAGTCTAATGCATGATTTATGCAGTTGCAAGAGAACTCGGAAAACGTAGACAGATCGCGAGGAGACAGTGGATGGAAGAGGTGCAAGCTTTTGAATATCACCAGAGAAGTCTTGAGCAGCTGCAGTTTTCTCAACGAGGTTTTCCCGTTACAGGCTTTTCGGCAGACGGATTAAGAGTTCCAGATGGTCTGTTAAGATTTCAGTTTCGCTTTATGTTTAAGCATCTTTCTTTGTTATTTTTATTATCTTACTAACTGAAATTGTTTTTCACACAGATCGATTCAATTTCCAGCCTGCGGAAGTTCTGAACTATTCGATGAATAACATATACATGACTGCAGAAACCAATTCCTCTGAAGGAAGCAGCAATGGAGTACACCATCTCCCGACAGTAGACTGTCTCCCGGAAGAGTTTCCGATCGAAAACAATAATTAGAAGTGATTCAGTTTCAGAAACATAGAAGAAGAAGAAAAGAAGTATAGAGTTTAGAACAGTGGAAGACAAAGACAAGAACAACTTTCTTTGGATAGATTATAGAGTTTTCTTTTGGAACTACTTAGTCAATTAGCATGGTGAAATTTACATAATCTTACTATACATGTAAGAAGTTTATTGTTTTTAATAATTATAGAAATTAAACTTGGACAACTAATTTAAGTAGTTTAGGGGCTGAATAAGTGAGATGTTGCAGGTTTGAACCAATGTTTCTCTCTCTGAACCAATGTTTCTCTCTCTCTCTCTCTCTTATGTCTCTGCAGCTACTAGTATTAAGTTTTTTTTAGATTGAAATAAAATTGTTATATTATGTACTAAGTTACTCATTTCTGTAACTTTTGAAACTTTATATGAAATCAATTAATTATAAGCCTTTTTATTTTTATTTTAATGCGTGTAACTATTGTTAAAGTAGTTTGTGAAATAGTTTGTGTTTTTGATTGTGAAAGTTGAAATGTTAAAATATCAGTCTTTTATTGATTATTTAAATTTTCAAGAGAAAAAAAAAATCAAATATCATAAATTTTAAATAAAAAATGATGAGTAACTTCATAAAAAAGCATCAACATTAGTTACCAAATAGCAAAACTAAGCATGTTGTTGTCTATTCCCCAATAATTAATTAATATTATTAAAATAAATTAGTTCTCTAACTAACTTAAAAAATATAGGTTTATTTCTTCTTTATTTTTTAATACAAAAAATCAAATATATTCTCAAAATAGCATAACTTTGTGATGAAAGAAAATCTATGGAAATAATAGCAACTCTATGAAATAAATAATTTTCTGCAAGTATATCTGTCATACTCTTGAACCTTACTAGTTCTGAAAATGCTGCCATTAACACATATTTCTCACTATTGCATATGTCACTTATCTTATCCACCTATTTTCCTCATTTTTGAAAAATAACCACAATGCAAATTATACCTACCACATTTTTTATGACAAGCACAATCCCAAATCGCTTTCCTATAAAACACACTACTTCTGACTAGTGGGAAGAGTGAAAAGATCAAGGTTTGTGTTTTAACTGTGATAAAAAATTTGTCCTAAAACATAAATTTTCAGTAAAAAAATTTCTCTTACTTATGATAGAGGATGGTGATCCCACAAAAACTCAAGACACACATGAGATTTCAAATGCAGTTGAAAATGAGACAAAAATTGAAGAAACTTATTTTCAACCACCACCATAAGTTTTCATAGGGAGTTTTTTCCTAAAACTTTGAAATTTAAGGGGTTACTTGATCGTCTATTTGTTATTGTTCTAATTGATAGTGGAAACACTTATAATAATCTCTAACCTCGCATTATTCAACAACTAAAAATCACTGACGGAATCATACTATAAAGTTTGAGGTGGTTATGAAATTAATCTATAATTTATAAATCAAATATTTATACTATAATGTATATAAAATATCTAAATTGTAATAAACACATAGTTAAACATAAAATGATTAAAGAGTATTACATAAAAATACCTTAAAATAATGCTCTGCGGTTTTTGAGTAGTTTGAAATCATCAATAATAGTCTCAGAATCAATACTTGCAGCAATTTTTCTTTCAATATTAACCGTCATGCTATCTCCTAGAAAATCAACTTCCATTTTGTCTTGATAATTTTCATTGTCAAAAAAGATCTTTCCGTAGTAGCTGTAGATACAGGCAGAGTCATGATAAGGCGAAACAATCTATTAATCAAATAATAAATTTCCTTCTTTTCAGTTGCAACCAAAGAATCAGTGACGAAATCAGACTATAAAGTTTGAGGTGGTCACGAAATTAATCTATAATTTATAAATCAAATATTTATACTATAATGTAAATAAAATATCTAAATTGTAATAAACACATAGTCGAACATGAAATGATTAAAGAGTATTACATAAAAATACCTTAAAATAATGCTCTGCGATTTTTGAGTAGTTTGAAATCATCAATAATAGTCTAAGAATCAATACTTGCAACAATTTCTCTTTCAATATTAACCGTCATGCTATCTCCTAGAAAATCAACTTCCATTTTGTTTCTCCATCTTGTCTTGATAATTTTCATTGCCAAAAAAGATCTTTCTGTAGTAGCTGTAGATACATGCAGAGTCATGATAAGGCGAAACAATCTATTAATCAAATAATAAAAGGCGAAACAATCTATTAATCAAATAATAAATTTCCTTCTTTTCAGTTGCAACCAAAGATGAACATAACTCTTGAATAGTTGTTAAAGTATTCAAACTCGATGCTTGACGAGCGTCAATAATAAAATGCCGAAGTTGAAATTTCAAATTAATCTTCTTTTACTCATTGAAGTCCATAGGATAATATTTTTCAACTATAGTGCAAATGGTATCAAGGTTAAAAGCCTTACAATTATCTTTGTTTATCAATGATAGTTAAAAATATTTCAACTCTAAAATAATGCTCAATGGTTACCTGGTTATCTTCAAGACGAGAACGACCAAATCTTGTTGTTGAATGAACATCATTAAGATCAGGAATCTGAATATCATATTTTTCACAAAAAGACTTCACAGAAGCAAACAATTCATCCCAACCAATTTCTCTTAATTCTTGAATAAGAGTTTTTGTTGTATTAACCAAATGCGTAGCATTAACTACATTCTGAGATAGTTGTTGTAAAGCTTGATAAAGCATATTTGTGATCTCCATAATTTCTTTCATCAAATGCAATATGAATATGAAATCAAATGACTTCAAATAATTGTAAGCACTATCAGCATCTCCAGGTGAAGCATAACTTAATCCTTCCTTTGCAAATTTTCTTGAAACATGACAAGTTGCTCCATATATATTCATCAAGCTAGAAATAGAAGAGAAGTGTGATCCCTAATGAGTATCCCCAGCTCGCTTTAAAGTACCAATTTGATTTTCACCTTTACCAGTTACAATCTCACCAATCTCTAATAAAGGTTTATTTTCATCTAATTGAGAAGCTTGTAACTCGTCGTGACGCTTTGTAGAAGAAAAAACAACATTGACAATTAAAGCTAGCTTCTCAAAGAATTGATGAATTGGTTTAACTTCTCTTGATGTAGTAACCAAAGCAAGTTGCAATCGATGAGCAAAACAATGAACATAATATGCATAACGTCAATCCTTCATAAAGAGTGCTTGTAAACTGTTCAATTTTCCTCTCATATTTCTAGCACCATCATACCCCTGGCCACAAATGTTGGAGAAATCAAGGTTATGCAGAGAAAGAATATCACAAATTTTTTGCTTAAGAGTTAAAGATGTAGTGTCACTAAAACGTGCAAGACCAAAAAATATATCTTGTATAAAACTATCTTTATCAACAAATCTCAAAACAAGAGACATTTGCAATTATACAAAACTTGGAATCACCAATTTCTTCACGGATATACTTTTTCACCCTACTTAAAAGAATGTACAAGATCTCTTTTTGAATTAGATGTGAAGTATACCTGTTGTTAGATGGAGAATTTTCCAACACAACTTTTGCAACTTCATCATTGTAACCTACTAAGAGTTTTATCAATTCAAGAAAATTGTTTTGGTTTAATGATTATGTACTTTCATCATGACCTCTAAAAACACACGCTTGAAAAGTTAACCAACGAACAGATCAATTGAAATCTTAAGACATAGTCGATTCTTCATAATTTCAATTGAACTTTGAGCTTGAATAATATTCCTAATGAGACCATCTTGATTCAACAAGTCTTGACAAGCTTTGATAGCATTGTTATGTAGAGAGCATGGATCTTTTCCTATGTGTTTAAGAAATGCACAATTCTTTCCATTTCTTACTTTCTTCCAACCTCTAAAACCTGTAGAAATGAAGACATTGGAATAGGACGTCCACTTGGTCTTTTGCTAAAAAGGTAACATGGTAAGCAATAAGCAGCATCTTCTGAAGGTGAATATTCTAACCATGAAGAAAAAAGGCTAAACCAAGCGTGTTGAAAACGTCTTTGATGGTCTTCTTTACCAGACAATGGATATTGCTCTAAATTCATTTGATACGGACCCCATTTTAAATAAGCTCTTCATATTTCATCCATTTGATTTACATGATATTCTCACATTGAAGAACGTTTTTCAGGATCACGTTCTAAATAATTCTCAATGTCATCCGAACAAACTCTATTAACATTTTCTTCAATTCTTGAATTCTCAATAACTCTTGTAGGTTCAGACATATGTGTTAAATTCTCTTCATCTATTTCTTTTCTCTTGAAAAAAGAATCAATTTTTCTACTCTTCATTATCACTTTTGTTCTGCATAATCAATTAAATAAATTAAAACAACACAATAAAATTCCAACATAATTCAATTTTACAAATATTAATAAATTATTAACTTAATAAATTAGTAACAAAAATCCAACATGATTCAACATTTCAAACTTATTTTATTTCTATTTCTCTATTGACCTGTTTTTTTGTAAAAACAATTAAAGAGAAAAAATACAAGTTTTTGATAATATTGTATAGTTATAAAATTAGAAACATGTTATGAACAAAATTTTCATAGCTATCATTGAAAAAGTTTGAGAATATGCTAAAAGAGTTTGAACACAAATTCATATTACAACAATTAAAGATTGAGTCAATGAAAATTAGTTGAATAACAATATGCTATATTAGCAATTTTGTATAAGAGAGATGCTACAAAAAATTAAAATAAGTGAATATTAATTTAATGACAGTAAACTAAAACAATTAAAATAAGTGAATATCATTAGCAAGAAACTCAAACTACTGTGTTTTCTTTTCATATCAAATTGATTATGCAGTAGATTATTTTTTGTGAAAAAACTCAAAGAAACTTGTAAATTAATAAGTAAGAATAAAATAAAATATAAATTAATCATAATGGAAACAAGAATTTTACATATTATGTGAATTTGGAGCAATTTATTTTGAACAATTTTAGATGAAGAAAAG